CTCTTCCTAGCTCTGCACTGACCTTCTCTGTAACCTCTTTTCTAACAGTTACTGGAGCCATCCCTTCTGAAAGGCCTCCTGGTTAGCAGCACCTGATCATATAACTTCCTGAGTGCCTGATTAGACTTTCAATCCTCAAGGGCAGGTAATAAAGTAAAGCTGACCACCTGTGTGAGGTCTGAGCAGGGCATTAACTCTAAAAATCAGATAGGGCCTGTGCTCCCTGTCCCAGTCTCAGTCATGCAGCACACAGGTTTATAGCTTGTGGCAACAAAAGGCCAATTTAGGACAGAAAGCATTATTGATGGCTATATCCAAAACACAGGCTCTAAACACTAATCCCTTGCTGCAGAGGTTTTTAGTGACTCAAATGTCAATACCACAGGCTGAAAAATCCAACTCTATGTTTGAAGACTCTTGGATCAATTGGCAGTAAAACATTCACAGGAACAAACAGAGAGAGACTCCACACATTTATTACTTACCACCAGTTTACTAACACTACAGAATTAATGGTGCGTGCTAGCAAGAAAGGAGTTCACAAATGTTTGGAATGACTGCATCAAACTAAATACAGTTTAGAAACGTGTTTTCCCTTTAATTTAGGTGCAAAATATTGAGATGCTAGACACTGAACAATGTACAAAGATCATAAACAATCCAATTGTTGTTCAAGGTTACAAGGCATTTACATGCCACGCACTGAGGTGTTCAAACATCACTGAACAAAGGCTACAACCTACCATGGCACAACTGCAAAGAGAATATTAAAAAAAACATAGACTTGTGTCCTGCTGACTAGATCCACAGCTCATCTATGCAACCCCAAGTTCCTGCTGCAGTTAGCCCTGCCCTGCTATTCACACATGATTGCGCTGCCTTGCTGCAGGTACACTAGGCCAGATATGTCTTAGGATGTGGTGTGGTGACTCACTGGCATGAGCTAGCAAGTTCAGTGAAAAGCTAAAGGAACAAAACCCTGCTCCAAGCACCTGCTAGTGCTCTTGCAGGCACAAGGGTCACTGTGTGGTGACCCAAGAGAGGGAATACTGTACTTGCAGACATCATGAATCAAGCGGTAGCTGAAAGCGCCCGGTTGAGGCCACTGACACCGTACAGCAGCTGTGTGAAGCTTCTGAGACATGAGGTCACTTGTAGCAAGTAGAACCCGTGATGTCACCGGAGTTACAGCCCCAGATCAGGTCCAACTGTGGAAGAAGCAGCATGTGGAAGGATGGAAATAATGTTCCAAGCTCCAAAAGCTGGTCAGAATTAATCGAAAAGTCAACTTGGCAGGTCCCGCTAATTAAAAAAAAGACCTGCAGACCTTTGTCACACAACAGACCTGCAGATAAGGGCTGCCCACCCCAGTAGACAGGGCATTTGACTGGGGATCAAGAGCCCTGGATTGCTCATAGTGTTGCTCCCAATGTCCTGTGCTGGGCAGATCATGTCACACCTCTGTACCTGTTTCCTCTAACCCATTGTCTAGATCAGGGGTTCCCAACTTTTTGTCCTTTAAGGGCCATTTCAAAGGGGCAGTCCTGGGTGATGGACTATGCACTGGGAATCCCTGGTCTAGTCTAGTTGCAATGAACAGGTTCAAGTTCCCTGGGCTCCAAGGTGCCAACCTAGTACCACGCGTGGAAGAATCTCATTGGTCCTATTAGTGCTCCTGGATCTCTGTTGTAGTCACAAGGAAAAGTAACATTAAAACCCAAGTGAGACTACTCACAGAAAAGGCAACCAGCTCCAATACCTGCACCAGAGCAGGGAGCAGGTAACCTGGCCTGCAATGTTATTTTAAAGCTTTTTCCTCTCCAGAGAGACCCGGTTCTGCACTGGGCTGAAATTAATTCTTGTGCCAAGGGCAGTGAACTAGTTAAGTCCCCCTTAAACCTGAAACCTTGTTGTACTGGTGCCTGCCAGGAATGACTCCCACCCAGAGCCTGGGCAGATGACACATTTACACTAGCATGAGTTACTAGAGTTATGTACTCAGTGTAAATTACCCTGACATCTGGAGCAGACAGATATGTAACCCCCATGAGGTGGTTTCATAGGGGAGGCAGCCATTACAGTCACTTGCCACTAGGCAGCAGGTGGGCAGATAATACCATATTTTCTCACCTGCAACATGCCCTGGAATATGATCCACACCTTGTTTTTGAAAGGCAGAAATGAAGAACAAAATCTTTCCTTCCAGTGAGTAACTGAGCAGCAGCAGCTAAGGAGCTGAGCCTGTCCATCATGCTGCTCCCTGTGGATCATGTGCATGTTTTATTTACAGTTTACTCTAGTAAGTGGCAGAAATGGCTCTTACCATATTTCTTGGATATATTATACACTCCAATTTCCAGCAGCTGTTTGGTTTTTTTTAAACTTATACATGGTATATGAGAAAATGCTGTGAGCAAACAGCTAGCACAGGATCAGCTGTGGACAGATGGCATCTATAATGCTATGACTTACACTAGTGGAGTTTGATCTCTTATTTGTCCTGGGCAACAATATCCATGATTCTAGCAAATTACATTGTATAACACTATATGTCAGGAGTGTGCTCCTTTTTTCACTCTGGTGTAAAGGCTGATTGCATTGGTGTAAATGTGTTGTGCGTCCAGCCCTCCCCCCCCCCCAAAAAAAAAAGAACAGCAAACCCCGCCCAAAAAACACCCTATAAGGATGAAATCTGTTTTTCACTTGCTCATCTGTCAGCGTGGAGACTGCAACTAGCTTAGTTTGATGGTTGCTTGCATCAGGTTGCCCAGCCATGCTTGACCCAACACAAGTGAACAAATGGGCCAGGGAAAAAGTTACATGGAGGCTTATGCTCCCCCCATGCAGGGGATTGGTAGGGAGAATCCAGGAAGCCCACTACCCTCACTGCTAAAGGACCCAGAGCAGCAGGGTCCACAGGTCCTCTCCCCAGTCCTAGCAGGGGTGAGGACATTGTGCTTCCTTCTCTTCTCTGTGCTGCAGAAGGCACTGTACCCAACTCAGCCACAGCAGGATGTGCCTGGGGAACCCCCACCATGTCAGAAATTCATAATCCAAACAAAAGCACAAGGTGGCATAAACATGAGTTATCATCAAGATATTTATTGGGATGTTCTTCCGTCTAAGTTAGAGCAAGCCTTTGTCTGAAAAGAGCAAACTGTACGATTCATGGGCTCAGCCCAAGGTGTCTTCTAGACAAAAAAATACCAACAGACAAAGTATGAGCAATCAATACAGCTCAGGTTCACAGGCTTACACCGTAGAACTGCTGACATCTCTCTGCCCACTAGTAAATGACTTGGTGAGGCCCCAGACCAGTACTTGCTCTAGTGACTAGAAAATGCAATTCTGGTCAAGCCTGGCTAATGCTATTCAAGGAGGTGTGGTGAGCTTAGTGGTTTAATGATGGTATCTGGAACCACAAGATCTAGCCAAAATCAACAGTGGTAAGAAGCTGCTTTTATTCAATAGCAGTTTGGTGGCAGTGACTGCATCTTTATTGCCTCCATGGAGGACCTGAGAGTGCTGCCAAGAATCAGGCCCTGCATCCCCTCTCCAATGGTGAAGTCAGCTTTAGGGAATGTCCACAGCACAGGCACAGATCTCAAGAGCAAAACAGGGTTACCCCAAGGTGACTTGTCTGCCTCTCTTCCAAATTTGGGGTGTGAAGAGTAAGTAGGCAAAACAGTGCTTCCTGGTGGTTCTCGTAAAGGGCCTGAAGAAGTGGTACAGACATAACCCATGAGGACTCTGTGTCTATTTCCAAAAGGCGAGGGGCAGGTTACCAACCTTGTCAGGACTGCTGACAACCTCACTGGCAATGTCATCAGGAGGACAGGACATATATCAAACTGCAGCCCCTCATTACTCCCAGCAGAGGAAACTCCTGAGTAGCTAGCTCTGCAACACCTGATAGAGTCCTGTAGAGAGGCTTACACGCTACTGCTAGCATGACAGCTATGCTCTAAGGAGGGGACTTCTTAAACCAGAGATTCTATTCCAGCACTTCTCTTCATTTGCTTTGAAGGAGGGGGAGGAGAGAAAAAAAGGAAAAATCTACAGATATGAAATGTTTTCCCAGTATTGTACATGTTAAAGGAAACATAAAATAGAACTGTTTACAGTTAGAACTGACAACACGAACAAGTGAAAAACATCACCATGCAGCACAGGCAGGAACAGAGAATTTGGGACTGAAAGGTCTGTGTCCTGTGTCTTAATATTAGTGTCTTGCATTCAAATGTATGTTTTGATGCTTCTTAATAAATAACAATAAAAAAATCTAGAAAGCACAAAAACCAAATCCAAGCGGATGGGATGAGTATGAAAGTGGAAGGCATAAGTCAAGTCAGTTTAAAAATCACTCGTAGTTAAATTACTGCCACTCTGTACCGGAAGAAGGCCGAACCTGAACCCAAGTAATCAAGAGTCTTCATTTTTCTTCTCATATGTATGGGTGGAAGCCACAAGTAATATTCTCAAGTCAAAGATGGGGGAAGACTTACACTAATGTAGGGTGGACCAAAGTGAGATGAGCATCCACGCCAAGATTTCAAACAACCAAATCACTGCAATTTGAATGCTGAAGCTACCCAATCACTACTTGTTATGATGATGCCAGTTTACCCACACACTCTGCTGAGAGCAACAGAGAACAGTGGCAAAAGAACAGCAATTTCAAAGCCATGTGTGGGCGAACAGAATCTGATGCTCATTGAGAACATTACACAGTCTAAGCAGAATAAATGCAATAAACTTTTGTAAGCTTCTCTGGCTATATTCCCATGTCCAGTTGGCAGATCCAAGCCATGAAGGTCAAAGGGGCAAAGATAAAGGACACTGGGGCTTATCAGAAAGATAAGGATCATTTCCAAACACAAAATATTTCTCTTGCTGTTTATGCCTTTTTCCCCATCAGCCATAAAATGTTTTACTCTCCCCTACTTGTTACTGGTTTTGTTCCCTTCAAGTGCAAACAGTGTTTAGAAGGGAGAAAAAGCTCCAGAAAAAGCTCATGTTTTATTAAACCTTATAAAAGATTCCTAACTCATTTTACATTTCACAACTGAATACAATAAAAAAAAACCCATAGCAAAGCCAGGCTCTGCCTGAAATTAAGCAGATCCAAACTCCGCCATCCATTTTTCATACTTCTCCAGATCTGCAGCAGATACAGACTTAGAGATTTTCTTCAGAGCCAGCTCAAAGTCCCCCTTGGTAACAGGCATCTGAAGTTCTTCTTTAGAAAGTGCACGGATCTCTTCTGGGGTTAAGCCATTAATACGACGTCTCATTGCCATCAAAGAGGCATCCCTGGAAACACAAGGAAACGTATGGGAACTAATTGCTAGTAGTATGTGTTGTGAGTCGTATGAATTTGGATTACATTCTCTTAGACCACCGGAAGAAATTCTTAAGAAAGCATTTACTTATATTATAAAGATGTAGAGCACTTTTTTCTTAGCTTCCGTGCTCAGAGATTACTACATTAATTCAACACACTGGTATCCAAATCCATTTCAGCATATGGTAAACAGGCAGAGATAATTAAAACCATAAAACTGAAAACCCTTTGCAATGATTCATGGGACTGAAATCTCAAGTTTTCAATGCAGTCACAAAACTTATGGAAAAACCTCTGCTCACTGCTTTCTTCTCGCTGAAACACTCCATTCCCCTCAGTGCAAGCACCAGCTTCCCTTCATAGCATCAAGGCTCTTAGTATTTGCAACCTGTTCTGATAGAGTGGCTGAGTCAGTAAAGGGCAGAGCAGCACGTGGAAAACAAAAATGCTATGTGGCACCCACAGGGTTCAGGCCACCGATGCTTGCAGATCCTTATGCTCTTCATGCTTGATAGCCTCTTTTCTTGGTCCTTTGTAGAGCTCTGCCAATCTTGTCCACCAGAGGAGAACATTGCTCATTCCTCACAACAGGGCCCACATGGAAATTTCAATTTCGTGTTCCTGTCAACAGGCTTTTCTCAGCTAGGGACAATACAGGCCTCAGGGGTAACATTTAATCTGTCGGCCACTGCAACGCTCCAAAGAGCTGAGAACTCCAGAGTCATTTTAACACAGCCAAAAGGACAAAGCATAGTTGCCACCATTTCCGAGATGTGCATTTAGACTATAAGTTGCTCAGAGAAAAGACCCAGGGCCAGATTCCATCCCACCCATCAAATGTCTAAGTGGTACTCTGGCATCTAAGTGGCTAAGTATATTTGAGACCCTGAAAAGCAATTTGCCTAACAGGTGGGTTGTGACACGCGCGGAGCAGGTCCTCCTCCTTCTGCCTGCTTTTTGTGGCATAATTTTGAGGCAAAGATGAAGGCACATTAAAAAAGTTGTATTTTTTTCATGGACTTGAGCAAGGTGGAGTAGACCCACACTTAGACACCTAATAGGTGGAACAGAATCTGGCACATGGTTTCTGTATGTGTGATGCAGATTCTAGCACTAGATCTGCATGGGAAATTTCTAATTAAAGGCTGTCCCACAAAAGGCCATTCTGTCAAATTTCTACGGCAACATGATGATTTTGAACAAATTCTGATGGAAACCAGGCAGGTTTCCTGCCAGCTCACACCGTTGGCTCCTCTGCAGCTCGCCTGCAGGGTGATGAGGAGATGTCAGGCTGAAAGCTTTGGCTCCCAAGCTCCTGGTTCCTCGGCAGCCCCAATCCCACAACTCCCCCAGCTCCTGGATGCACCAGGAAGACTGCCCCAGTGCTGGGGCTTCCTATAGCTCCAAGATGCCCAACTCACTGCAGCTGAGGGAGTCTCAGAAATGTTCTGAAAAAGTAAAAAAGAAAGGACCTACTGACCTTTTGGAAATGAAAAGCTGAGACACCTTCTCTCAGGGAAATTCCATTTTTCCTTCCATTTCAAAAGGTTTTCTGCTTGTTTAATTTCAGAGTTTCCCATGGAACAGAGTCCAGTTTCCAGCCAATTCTATTTGGCTCAATAGGGCCCTGATTCACAGTTGGGGTCTCTGGACACTACAGTAATATTTAGTAACAAACTAAATGTCATTTATTAGCGGCAGTAATGCCAGCAGTGCCTAGCAGTCTTCATCCCAGACCAGAACTCCATTGTGGTACAAAATAATTACTGCCCATCCCCTAAGAAAAGTTTCTTGTGAAAGGGCTCTCTCTCTGGGACAGGGAATTCCACCTACTAAACCCCTGGTTTAAAAAATAAATAGAAAAGGGCTTCACCCCACACTAACAGACATTGCTCAGTGGAAGTAAACACTGGGAACACAAGATTTTCTGGGGCTGTCCCTCTCCCCAAAATCAGGGTAGACAGTCACATCTTGCACACACGCTGCATCGTCCTGAGGATAGGAATGAATGTGCTAGCAACTGTATTTATGCCTTAAAACTGATTGTGGCTGGCATGGGTTTGACTGCATTTTACATATGGCCTCTTGCCACTCCCTTTTATCAAATAACTTAGCTAATGATTATATACTTGTTTATTTTTTACAAATTACATGAGAAAGGTACCTGCACACATTAGTTATATCAGCACCAGAGTAGCCTTCAATCTTCTCAGCAATTTCTTCAAGGTGGATATCAGGATCCAGTTCTACTTCCCGAAGATTAATCTTAAGCAGCTCAGCTCTGCCTTTTGCTACAATACAAACATTACCTGGTTAAAGACCTAAGAATATGTTTAAGTCCCCATAGCACATGGGAATGAAAACTCAGAAGTACGTTTTCTGGCTTTAAATGGAAGCTACAAGTTAAAAAGTTCACATATTGGAAAATAGAAAACAAGAACAGTTGCCTTTTCAGTAGAACATGTAGTCTAAAACACATATTGCTTACGTACTTTATAAAAACCAAGAGTGCTTTAGAATGCGCGGTCATGCAGAATGCCTATGCTTCTCAGGTAACAAAGCATTTGGCTGTTTGCTTTGTATTCAACAAGAAATGTGATCCAGCAGACCTACGATTCTTCTCAGTCTCTCAAATGCACCCCTCTGCTTCAAAGTTAGACTGCACATTATTTATACAAGGTTGATGACACTTACAATGATACTTCTAGCACACAGTTGCAGACAACACTCAGATCCGGACTGATACAGCAAAGCTCTTAAAACTATGCCAAACCTTAAGCTAGCACTGAAATGCTTTGCTGAACTGGCAGCTTATAAAGTTGCTGATGCCTGATGGAAAACAGAAGTATTACAATTAGAAACAACTCTGCTGGTCAGCTTTCAAACACAGGTGCTGTGTGCACAAAATGGGAACTGCTGCAGAAAGTACTCATTTACACAGCCAAGTAGTCACTTGGCGCACACAGAGCATATGTGTATTAAAGTCTTATGTTCACAACTTGGGAACTCACATTTGGAAGCCTGTCACTTTGGGGATGGGGAAAAAGACTGAAAGAGGGCTCTTCTCTTGGATTTTACTACAAAGGAAATGTACATGAAACTAACATCTTCATTTCTACAGCAACCATTTCTGATGACGCAGGATAAGATGGCCACATTGGAAGAGACAAAGTTTTTCAAACAAAGCCCCTGTTGGTCTTTACTGATCTCCCTTGAAATAAGAGAAAAAACACAGGTATGTGTACACACACACACACACACACACACACACACACACACACACTGATGTTAGGTTAACAGTAGTTTTACTAAGAGGTTGGGTTATGGATTTGTATAGGATGGTTTGGATAGAGATGATCCTGCCTCAGGCAGGGGGTTGGACTAAATAACCTCTGGAGGTCCCTTCCAGTCCCATCTCTCTATGATTCTGTATCTGACCATGGTCTCTAAGTGCCTCACAGAACTGTTTCTAGTACAAAAGGCTGGTAAACACTCACATAGCGGGCATTTTCTCCTGGATGAGTGTGTGTTATTTACAGAGCATCAGCCACATGCATCTGGTACACAAGCAGAACCGTTTCTTTAAACCAGAGTACTTTTCCATAGGGGCCAGAAAGCCCTGCCATCCCTTAAAGAATGCTGCCTGATGAACTTCACACTCACACCACGTCCCACAATTTTTTAAAAAACTTTTCCAACTGAATCCCAGAGTCTCAAATTACCAAGCGTGATTATAAATACATTGCCTAGACTTACACGGAGAAGCTTAATCTCCTCCCCTGTGGAATGATATGATAAAACGGAAACCCACAAATACAGTGGGAACACATCTCATAACATAGTACAACTTGTACTACTTATGTCAAAAGCAAGTGTTGTTTCACTGGAAACAAGAGAAAAAAAAACAGGTGGAATTTTAAACTAATTGGTCATAAAGACAGCTACCCTGTTATGAGCTGTTCCTGTCTGGGAACCGTGAAGACAAGCTGTATGCCTATTAAATGTCCTTATACCTGCTAAACTCAATCACAAGTGCTGTCACCATGAACGTGCATCTTGTTATCCTGAGTGCTCATGCAAAGCTATGAGGCACCCATTGTATCAAGCAGAAACAAAGGTATGCAAACTTCAAGTGATAAGGATCTTGAAATTAATAGGACATATGAATGACAGCCACGAAAGACAATACAAGCTGAGATGTCTTAGGGCAGGAAAGCAATCAGCCTGCTGCATTCTGAGTGACTTGAAGTCTAGCCATAAAGGCTACCAAGCAGTGATTTATAATGCACTAAGCCTGAGAGTGAAAATTCATGGATCCACTTCTCTGCATTTGTCTGCAAGGGCATGGAAGTGCATTTGCAATATTTCTTAAAATGTCCAAAGGCTGCCTTTGATGATCACTCAAGGATTGACTGTTAAACATTTAAAATAATTCCAGGCTCATTAAAACTAGCTTTGTTTTGCAAAGTAAGAACCCATGATGGATCTGCAATGAAATACTGCAACTCTTTGTTTTTAAGCCCCCAAGCCATTTTTCTCTCTTCTAAGAAAAACAAAAGCCAAATAATTAACCCCTGAAATACAATGTTTATAACAGAAATGTCAGTAAACTCTTCACAATTCAAAGAAATACTATAGATGGTGAGTTTCCTGGAACAACCATTAAAGAGAGAACCCCTGTAATACTCATACCTGTTGGCAAAGCGATATAAATCCTTTTCTCCAACCTTCTTCGCAAAGCTTCATCAATGTCCCAGGGAAAATTTGTGGCAGCAAGCACCATCACCATTTTAGATGGGTCATCATTTTCTAAGGCACCACCTACCCCTGTTAGTACAACAGTGTAAGAAAAAGTCATTTTAACAGTCTCATAGAATTCCTGCCTTTTTTAGGTGCTAGACTGGCAGGCCTTGGGGATGGAGATGCTCCATTCAATAAATGGACAGCACATAGACAGTAGCAGGGCAAGCTTCCTTATGTCACACTCCCAGCATGTCTCCAAACTGCTTTGAAAGCAATCTAATGCTAGAGAAGAGAGGAGTTCATCTGCCTTGCTGATCAGGCTTCTGCTGAGATTGCCAACAAGGTGATTTTGTGATGTGTGGACAGTTGTTCACCAGTGACTCACCTGAAAAACCCATTCAATTTATTTAAGCCACTGAAGATCCATGAGGTGGTAAAAGTTTTCAGTCATTCCCCCAACCTAAAGTTAGATTAAAAAGGAACCAGTTCCTTCTGGGCAAAGAGCTGTCTTCCCTGCATTTTCTCCAATGTGCCTTCACACTTTGAGGCATTAGAAAATGATTGTGAGAGCAACACCACCACAAGAATGGGTTACCTAACCCGTATACCACTACTATTCCTTTGATGATGGCCTCAAAAACACATATACGCCGAATGCCCTGACATGTTGTGAAAACTGATGAACAAATTATACCAACTGTCGCTGCTAAATCCAGGATTGTTAAATCAGACCAAGAGGACCTGCCAGAGTGAGTCAATAAAGGAGAATGAGTTTATTTAAAACTTTGTACTCTCTGTGCACCACATCAAAAACAGAAGTCTGGAATTAGCTGTGCAAATATTCCTAATCTACCAATCTTTTCTTTTTTTCACGTTAAGGTGGGGGAGGGGTTTGGTCAAAGTGGCGTCTTAAAAAAAAGAGTTTACAAAAAACTTTTTCTCACTGCTGAGAAAGAAAGAGAAGAAAAAGAAATCCATTTTAAAACCAAAAAACCCCCAAACCAGATACTTTTTTATTTATTAAAAAGATCTGTTTTGAACACCTTGGAACTAAGTCAACTACAAGTTTTGAATTCCCTCCCCTCCCCCCCTCAAAAGGATGCTTCTGATTTCCCAACCAGCCCTACTTGTTGCTGGGCAATGAAGAGTCCTCAAAGCTGTACCCAAATCCAGAAGATAAACTGCAGCCCAACCCCAAAGCAACACCTCAACACTAATTACCGTCCATCTGAACAAGCAGCTCCGACTTGACTCTGCGACTTGCCTCATGTTCATCGGATGTGCCTCGGCGACTGCAGATGGAATCTATTTCGTCAATAAAGATTGTTGTTGGAGCGTAGAACCGAGCCTTTATTCAGAAGTGAACAAAACAATTTAGACTACAGCAGTAAACATACACCCAGAGCAGGCTCAGGGCCTTGCTGTGCTATGCAGTGTGTACATGCACAGAAAGACACCCCACACCACAAACAACTAAATCTGAAGTCATCCTACAAAGACTTTGCACATGGCACCCAGTGCTGCTGACAGTCATTGGGGATGCTTTCTATGCACATGAGCTCTGCAAGGTCAGGGGCTAAGACAACAAGTATCTTGCAATGAGTGGGGAGAAAAAGAACACAATCAAAATACAGACAATGTGCAAGACATAGTTTGGTTTTCCTAATGGCAAAAACATAGGTGGATACAGGGGAGTCTCATTCTCAGTCTCTCTAAAAACTACAGGATGCTTTAACCGATCCAGAGGGAGTAAATGACACGTTGCACCTGTGCACATGCGCACACACCCTGAATTGCATACAAAATATTTCTCAACAGCAGTTCAGGATTTGGCCCTCGTTTCCAAAAATCAACATTCCCCCATGGAACATGGAAAACAAAAATAAAACTTATTTTCTTTCCCAAACCCACTACCTATCATTACTCCTCATCTTCAAAAATATACTGAGAAAGGTCTGGTAAATGAAGCCTGCACTTCTAGCCACCTCATCCTGCTGCCAGACACTAGAGGGTGCTATGAGGACCAACCACACATGTCCCTTCCCACATGAAGGGCTCTTCAGCACACAGATCACGTCATTGAGACCTTACCATTTCAAAGAGGAGGCGCACTAGCTTCTCAGACTCGCCCCTATACTTGGACGTCAGAGTAGAGGAGGAAACATTGAAGAACGTTGTTCCACATTCAGTAGCAACAGCTTTGGCTAGCATTGTTTTGCCAGTCCCAGGTGGGCCAACCATTAGCACACCCTACAATTCAAGATGGAATAAAAGCTGAATGGCACCACAAAAGCAAGCCAAGAGTAAGCAAATACAAAGCCACTGCAATCGGCTGCATTGTGCTAAACCCAACTATGACTCCGAGTCTTCATATTAATGGCTCAACAATGTAACTGATGCATGCCTGAGTGGGGGTGGGCTGAAAACAAGAATTTTTTTTTTCCTCCCAGAACAGAAATCAAGTTTTTGGATTTTTTTTTTTCATTCCACTTTTACATGAAATCAGACACACACTTATACAAGCATAAAAGCCAGTAGCCCCATGGATGGGGCACTTCTTTGGGATGTGGAGGACCCAAACTTCCTAACTCCAGCTATGTGCAAGTCTGGCTGATTTTCACTTCGCTTCACTAAAGCCATTCATAAAGTACATGGGCAACTCACACTGTTTATTCTCTCTCTAACCTATCCACATTACCATAGCACTTGAGCCCCTCACATTTCAATGTCTGTATCCTCAGGACACTCCTGTGATGTAGGGAAGTGCCATCATCTTCACCTTACATATGGGGAAATGATGCACAAAGACAAGAGACTGGCAGCAACAGAAATACTTTGGCACCGAACTCTCCTAGCTGTCACGGAAGTGAAGTACCTAAACATTTCTCTGGAGTTGGGCCTAAGTGATGTGGTCAGTGCAGCACAAGAAATGCCCACAGCAAAGCAAAAAAATGAACCTCCTAATGTCCTAACCACTGAGGCATCCTTTTCTCCCCTCTCCTGCTGACAGAAAGGGCAAGATGGGAAGTCTCAGGTGACCTCTAAGTCCACATCCATTTATTCACTCTTAAGTGAATGGATATTCTAGATGGGGAGACTGAACATTTTCATAGGCCAAATAAGAGTTTTAGCAGCATTGCTTGTTTCTGGACCTGACCAAGAAGGGAGGCATTCATTTTTAAATGGTCCACGGTGGCAGGGCCTCCTGAAGGTAGGTGGTGGTAATGACCATTTCTCCTCCTATGGAGGAGTCAAGGGTTAATGCTGACTCATAGGAGAGGGGTAATACTGCATTTTCTCATACGTAACTTACACCTTTTCCCCTCAAAACCAGCTGGAGAAAACTGGGCTGGACATTACATGCAAGGAAAAGAGATCCCTAGGGCCTGAAAATCTGGCAGGAGGGGAAAAGGGGCAGAGTAGTGGCTGTGTTAATTGCTGAAGCTCTAGGACCCATGGGGAGCTTCCTCCCCATCTGCACGCAGCCCCAGACTCAGTGTGTGGGGTCAGACTTGGCACACAACCGCAGACCCAGTGTACCAGGTTGGTCTGCAGATCCCATCCAGTGCACGGGTCCAGCAGCAGACTTGGAAGCAGGCTTGGCTCCCTAGCTGCTGCCACTGACTTATCTCAATCATATTTTTTCAGGCTCCTCTTCAAAAATCAAGATATATGCTATGTATGGGGGCATACTATATGCAAGCAAATATGGTACTCAATAATGTTTTCAATAAAATTCCTCCAGATACTTTAGAAGGCTACTTCTAAACTGTATGCCTTCTTCAGATGGGGAAGTACGTTGTTTTCCCCACCCCATAGTGGCCAAGAAGAAAAGTGGTGACTTCAACACTCTGCTGTTGAGAATGCCATTTCTGAGCAGCTTGCTTTTACAAATGCAAGATCTGATTATAGGCTAACAAAAGCTTACCAAAGTAAAGTCATACTGTGTTTCAAGGGTAATCAAATTAGCTGGAATTAGACTTGCACATCATAAATGTGCTTTGCAATTAATATCTTACATAAAATGCCACAGTAATAAAATATCTGTTAAACGCGATCTATGCTGCAAATTAAGTTTCGTCTGTTCCTCACAAAAATTTACTTCAAAAAGCACAAGGAATGACATGGAAAAGAACTATAAAAACAAATCAACCAGGAATGCAATTATTCAAAAAAGTACTCATCAAGAGCAATAGCTTTTCTATGCCTTCATTTTCCATTAACTCTTAATACCTTTATTGCTATCTAACACTTTGCTAATGGGAGCGCAAACATATATTCATCGGTAAATTAAGTTACAAATGTTCATATCCTTCCCATACAGTCAATGGCCCAATGTCACTTTTTAGGCTGCCCAAAATTTCCCAGACTCCAGGGCAATAAGCATTAAAAACAACAACAACAAAAAAGATTTCGGCTTCTCCTCCCTCAGAACATTCAGACATTGCTTACCCTGGGATTCAGTCACTGCTACAATGGCAGCAGCACTAGACAATTGTTGCCAGCCCACAGCATACACATGGATAATTGGATGAAATTCCCTGCCCTATGATATACCAGAGGCCAGGCTAGATGATCTAATGCTCTTTCTAGATTAGTCACACAAGGCACCTATACACATGCAGAGAGGCTGCCCCGATGTGCTGTAATTACAGGAATTACAGTGTTGGAACAGACTTGATTAATCAACTCCGCTGGAGCGTAATAATTACCATGCTCCACCAGAGTCCAGCATCATGTGTATTAGCGTCCCCATGCTTAAAAATGGTGGCAGGAGTACTTTAAAATTAATTAAATGAGTTTTAATTAAAGTGCCCCCTCTGCCATATTTCAGCATGGGGACGCTGATACACGTGACACTCCAGGTGCTCTAATTAGAGGGACTCTCGGGACCTGCTTTAATTAAAGCCCTCCCCTCCCCACCCCCGCGGAGCATGTGTATAAGCACCCATAGTTTACCCCAGTTTCAAACCAAGCTAAGCCTCCCTAGTTTAGATCATGCTGTACCCACAAAAATTGTGATTATACTGGCTCCCCAGGTAGCTAAAATCCCAGCATAGATAAGGTCTCAGTCCTAAAATTAATACAGGGAGCTAAATGCTGCCTTCAGTTTTCTACTTAACTCACCACTAGTGAATCCAAGGGACTTATTTCTCCCATGCCTTGGATCACGAGTAGCTGTGTCCTTCTCTATCACATAGGTGTAATGTGACCAAATGAGGCTGATGGCATTATTTATCCACTTTGCACAAGCCTGGATGGCCCCCCAAGGTGAAGGCCGTGAGAGAATCAGGCCACTGACAGATGCTCACAGTGCGAAAATCAGCACAAAATTTGAACCTGAATTTCCAGCTAAGTTAGATGCCCAGGGTTGGGAGGAGGAGCGTGCCAGACCAAACTACTTGTTCTTTGTATCATCTAGGAGTCTGGCACTTACTGGCTTGTTAAAATCCCTTACAAACACAATGCCTTCTTTATTCCTCTTCTCAGGCTGTTAATCCAGAGTATTCCAATAAGCTAAAACACACTGCAGGGAGCAAGCGTTTTGATGAAATCATGGCAGGGTTATTTCTTGTTGTTGTAACAGTCACTAGCAGAGCAGTGGGAAGCACAGCTAGAGACTGGGCCTTCTTGGCACAAAGAACAGTACATAGAAAGGAAACAAGCAGCTCCTGGCTATTCAGAAAGCAATGGCTGCAAATATCCAGCACCTGTGTTTAGTCACGAGAGCTGGCCTTTTCATACCATGCACCCATTTTGAATGCAGAGACAGGCTGTGAAAGCAGGATTGGGAACTGTTCTTGGGAGAGTCTGAGTATCCACCAAGAGGAGACTTGGCTGCTTTTTCTCTGAATTATTGCCCTGAATGCCTAGAGTCAACATCTGCTTGCTGCTGCTGCACTGCGTACAGCAAAAAGCAACCTTCACTTCAAAATATTTCATCCTTCTAGCACAGGCAGAGGGCAGTGGTAGGGAAAAACACACTGTTCTGTGTAAAAAGGAAGAAAGCAAAATTGCAGCTTCACAAGTCATTTGTAAATTCTCAGATGACAGACTATGAATGGGCTCTTCAGAAACCAGCTTATGTTTCAGACTGAACAGCAAGGAGGAAAAACCTAAGTTCTAATTTCCTTCCCAGTTGGTAACTGCCCAGTTTCTATGGCTGGCACCAGAGGGACAGGCACAGCTAATCTCACAGGCAGAAGGAACACTCCAATCCATGAACTGCACTGTGGCTCTTGCAGCCATCGGCATGTTCTTGTGAGGGGACAGAGGAACACTGAAAACGGGAGCTGCCAGCAGTGTGCTAAAGAAGGCATGCTCAAAAGAAGGGACTGTGGTGCCTTCTAGTAGTATTTCCCTTAGGCAGTGCTGACTTACAAATGATAAAGACAAATTAAGTGTGGAGACCACTAGCCTGCTGGTGAGAGGGTGAGCCAAGGTCAGAGGTAACCTCCAGTCAGACAACGAAAAGCAAAGTCTGGCCCTAAACTAGTGATTAGATATGCAGCCCCAGTGGGGAAGAAGGGACAGATTTTAGTAATGTGTGTCCTTTCTTGTATTGGTGAGTCAGAGTCTTCGTGTCTGCTGCTACCCACATACACAAGTGCTTTGCCAAATCAGAGCCACAGACAGTATAGTAAATAGGAAACATATCGTCCTGAGTTTCACCATTACAACATTCTCGGAAAGTGACAAATCCCTAAACAAGTATCAGTCAATCCTGTACCAAAAACGACATCATTTTTTGTTTATAGTCCTGTACCTATTTTTCATCTATAAACCTCCCAGCTTTTCCACACATGTCCAGATATTTAGTTCAATACATTTTGCATAAATGGTTATACTGTGATTTCATTAAGCAATTACAGTATTCATCTTTGCTAAAAATTCATGTGTGCTGGGACACCACTACTGTGATGACATGCCTCATGGCACCTGACAGCTTCCTTTAGTCCAGGAACGTCTACGTCGAACACATCACGGTCCACTGCCAATACGAGGACAGTTGCCCAAGACCAACAGCCATCACCAAGACTGAGGGGGTGGCCCAAACCCCCCTTGCACTTGCCACAACCACTCTCTATGCCCTGGACTACCCTCCACCCCAATAACTGTACCCCACATGCTAAAACCTGTATTTGAGTGTGCTTGACCACCTCACAAATCCCTACCAATGTGGTTACCATACATGGGGTCTGGTATCCTCTCAACAGCAGTTTTTGGCTATGTTTTCTTCCCCCACCCCCTCTCTACCCTAGGCTAATGTGGGCTGCATGATGAACTGCAAGTCTTTTATCGTACCAACCCACCCCAACTACATCTCATGTAGCCACCAGGTGCGGGGTCCCACATTCTCTCTAATCTCCACAAACCCATGTCCTTAACCAGTTTTTAACTGTGCATTGTTTTAATGTTTAAATCTATATCAAGGCAGCATGTACACACATGTTACAACACTATGTATATGTAACTATATGTTGGCATGTAGGTAAATGCCCTTACTCAGCCCCTAGACTAGGGTAATAAATTCTCACCTTCCAAGGCCGTCTGATCCCTTTGAAAAAATCAGGCATCCACATTGGAAGAACAACAGCTTCCCTTAATAACTTCTTGGCTTCTTCCAAATCTGCTATATCATCCCTGTGCAAGAAGAGTTAAATACTGCAGTTTATGCACACAATATCTTACTTTGGTTTTAAGACATGAAAAATTGAAAAAAAGTCTTTCTGTTACTACTGTCCTTTTTAGTATGCTACTCTGTTCCTAGTGAGAACATTGCTATAATGCTGTAGCCTAAAAATGAACCTGCCTGTGAAAGGAAGGAAAAAGTGACTTTCAAGTAAGGTTACTGCAAGTTGCTAATTAACATTTTTTTGGATCATGTGTTCATCAAAGGAACATTTTTATAGTTCTCCAGAGGGCAGTTACACATTTTAGCATTACTTGTTATGGAAATATCGCACATAATATTGGCTAAGAATGAAAGTCTCACACTGCAGTCAAATTAGTACAGTTAAAATGAAAAGTCCCATTTTTTTCCAGTTTGGAAAGTCATGATGGTTTCCCATTTTCTAAGTGGTAAATACAGACACACACAGAGGATGTACTCAGCCCCTTTCCACCTGGCAAAAAAATTTTAAACTGAAAATCCTCATACCAATGAATGCTTGGATTCCTTGATACAATGTCCCTTTCGAGTGCTTCAACCAAGTCTTTGTCATACCCAGCTCCATCAAACTTTGGAATTTCTCCATCTCCAGCACCTTCCTGAGGGGCTTTCTTTCCCTGGGAATGAAATAACACAAGTTAATAATGAAACTTTTGCTTTTAAAAGCTCCAAGATTAGAATTATACAACAATGTCATTCAGCTACTGCTCTGCTCAAGCCAAGAGTAATTTCAAACTTTCATATATAACTCTGGACTGTTTCATTCTCATTACAGCTAAGAAAGCACATTTTTGTTTTATCCTCTGTGAACACACTCTATCCCGGAAGTATGCTTTAATGTACTATTTTTTTCTTTATGTTAATCAAGAATGTATTTGGTTTTGTTTAAATAGGGGCAAACAAGACCCTAGTAGCAATAAGATACTCCTTAGATTACCAGCACAGCTGAATGCAGGAGCGGATGCATTTATAGCTTAATAGTGAACAACCTGTCATGACTCAATGCTGCATTAAATCCTGGTCCATAGGTAGTCCAAAGGTGTATTGTGATTGGTTGGTTAGGCCTAATGTTACATTTGTTGCACTACCTGCTGATGGTACACAACCAGGAGCCTAGTATTACAATCTTGATGATGTCACACTCATCAGCTTTAATGAGGAGGAGCAAATAAATGCTTTCCCCCTGCTTTTTAATTATTTACAAAGATACAAAGGAGCTTGAAGACAAGGCTTTTCCTACTCAGTCGTTACTCTTCTCACACCGCAAACAACAGTCTATTTCCTATTTCCTTTCTCTCCCTCATAGCACAGCCTCACACACAGCTGGGATACTTTCAGGAGTTCATATTTATTTAAATGACTGCGTTGAGAGCTCTAAATGAGTTCCCAAGCCAACCTAAGCCATCTTTATATCACAGTTGTATTCAGGGTTCTGGGAACTATCAAATGAATCAGGGAAAGCACAGCCTCTGCCCCAGGCTGCTCACAGTCTCCAGTTAGCAGCTCCAGAGCTCTGCTGAGCTAATGGGTGAAGAAACATTTCCTCTCTGAAGCACCATTACTCCGACACTTCAGAAGAAAACCACTTCCCCTCCCAGCTCAACGGCTGTGCTCAGTGGTGCCTGAGAAGCAGCTGCATTGTTTTAACTGAACTGGGCTCAATAGGAAACTGGTTTAGAGTTGTTATCGCAGTCTCTAAAAAGCATCAGCACAAAGCTAAAGTATCCCAGCTGTCTGGAAACAGCAGCACATGGGAAATAGCACGGAAAGGGGGCAGAGACAAATAAGCTAGCAGAGGAGAGCAGAAAAGGCCAAGGGCCAGTGTACAATGCCCCTTCCCTATGCCCATTAGCTCACATGCCCTTCAGGGAGCAGCTGGTGTCCTTCTAGCCTCTTTCAACTCTCACTTCAAGCCGAAGTCAGAGCTACTCAATATTCTCGGTTCAGTTTTCATGACAGAAAGAGAGCTGAGTATTGCATTTAAACCAGAGCTTGCTTGTCTAAAGGACACTGAGCCTCAAAGAGAAAAGGAACAAAGAAGGCACCTGTAGAGTTCAGAAGTCTTCAAATGAGAGTGAGGTTTAGATACAAAAAATGTATGCAACAATAAAAACATTATTCATAGTAGAAAAAAGGCAAGAGTTGCAGCTTTTCCATGATACAGAATTCTCTCATAGCCCCATAAAACAAGCTTTTTTTCAAGGTGGATCAATCTGCTACACATGCTCCTGAAAAACTGCAGGGACGTATTTTTAAAAAAAATTAAACATTAAGCCATGCTTTAAAAGCAGGAAGCCATGGGGGTCTCAGACTACTAGTGCACTGCAAAGGCAGCTGAAAGCAGCAGGACTGAATGACATACCTGAGGTTGGCTCCCACATTTGAGCAAACTTTAGTGTAGCTTATTGCTGTGCAAAAAGATGGTATACAAATAAATAAAATGATGCAGAACAAACGGTGATATCGATGCTTTGCAAATAAAAAAACAGCCAAAGGCAGAGAACCAAATGCACAGCTGGCGTGTGCTGAAAGCATGCTAATAACACTTTATCCATGCACTCCCACTAAAACCAATATGTAATTACAATGAGCAACCACAGGGTGGCAGCATTAAATGAAAAACACTGTATGAAGACTGGCAACAGTACTACAAAGGCTGCCTGAAGAATAACTGTGGAAGGAAACGAATACATATGTCTTGTATGCTAAGTAAATATGAGACGCTTGTTTCATTTGTGCACTGGCACTCGTCTTCATGATCCTCTCACCCGCAGCATTCACAAGCTGCTGCTCTCCTAGAGTAATAATGACTCGCAATTGAATGCATTTTTATTGGATAAATCATGTTTATATACTAAACAATCACAGCTGAGAATTTGCTTCCACAGCAGAACTTTTTTATTTTTTAAACAGTCTCTTGTAAATGATCTATTCTGACATAACTCATTAGAAGGTTTAGTTGTTCTACTGCTTCAGAGTTTGTTTTGAATTAAATACCAATTTGCAAGCATCTTGACAATCTTAGGCAAGAAATCTTGATGAAATTTAAAGATCCAGAAAAAAAAGATGCAATTCACCAATAAAAAGAGCTGAAAAGGAAACCAACTTCAAGAAATACTTTAATGCCAGACTGATTAATATTGACTGAGCATCAATTTGGAAGAAAGGACATTTTATTTCTTATCTGTACTGAAAATAAAGCAAGTTTTAAAATGTTTACAGTTTTCACATGTGATAAAGTGGCTTATAGGTACAGATCATAGGTCCAATCCCACAACCCTTACTCAGGTGATCAGAAGTAGATCAAGGATACCACAAAGGGAGCAGGGGGAAACAGCAACCAGCACTGCAGGGGTGGCTCTGCTCCTGGTTCCCAGTCTCCTTCCCACTCCACCAGGACAGGTAGACCATATTACAGGAGCAGCAGTTGTGGACTTCGTTAAGTCCCCAAAGCAAGTAAGAATTACCCACCTTCTCCCATCTTCCCCCCCCCCCCCCCCCCCCCCCCCCTTTTACTCCAATGGGCTTTTTCGGTCCCCAGGTGCCTACTCAGAAGCATGTGCCCTCCCTTCCCTGTCACCCTTTCTTGCCTGCCACTCCCACTATCCCCACGCTCCTCAGTGTGAGGAGGGCTCCAGAGCTGCTCTAGCCAGGTTGCATGGAGAGTTGGGCTCAGCTTGGGACAGCAATGGTAAACAGGCAGGTTCTGGACTGGAAGGGAATGCTTGGGTCATCAGGTTGAGTCCATAGCAATCACAGACAACCACAGTCTTTTTCAATCTGTTCCTTACATCATATTTCTTCTGCCAGGAGGGTTGGGTCCCTTGCCCCCCACAGGGCACCACCTTCTTCATCTTCTCCTGCATTTCCTTAGTCTAAAAAACTAGTTGTCTTGTCAAAAATAGAACCCTATGGGTGCATCCCGATGAGCGTGCATGTGCCTCTTGCAGTGTCTTAAGGCCCTTTGAGATGCTGCAAGAAGCACATGTGGGAACAAAAAAATGTTCCCTGCACTGCAAATTTGCAGTGCAGGGGAAAAAATTAGACCCCTGGATATCTAGGGGTCAAAAAATACCTCAGGGCAAAAAAAGGCAATCTGAGGTTGGGTCCTCCACAGAGACAGTCTGGTAGCCAGCCAGAGAATCTCCATGGCTGGCTCTCACCCCGGTGCTGAAGCATGCTACCTGCCAGCATGGGGAAGCAGGGGGCAGCAGTTACCAGCCCCTGCCGCCTGGCACCCACACTGCCACTATCCCATTGCGTGGGTGTAGCCGGGGTCGGCAGGGCGTTGCGTGGCTCCACGCTCTGTCAGGCAACTGGAGCAGCTCAGGCTGAGAGGTACCGGGCCCCAGGTGATAGCTGCAATAGCTCCAGCTGCCTGACAATGCGTGGAGCTGCACGACACCCTGCCGACCAGGGCTACATCCATGCAATGGGGCAGTGGCAGTGCGGGTACCAGATGGCCGGCAACAGTCCCCACTGCCCCCCGATGACCCTTGCTGTGCTTGCGGGGGGCTCTGCCAGGAGGCCCCAGTGACCTTGATGGCAGCTACTACTGCTGCTGAGTGCGGGGTTTTTTTTGTTTGTTTGTTTAAGTGCCAGGAGGCTGGGGCCGGGCAGCCATCGGGGGTTTGAGGGTGCAAGCAGGGGCTGGGACCAGGCAGGGCAGCCATTGGGGTGGCTGCAGGAGCCGGCAGGGGATGGGGCCGGGCGAGGCAGCAATCTGGGGGGCTGGGGGAGCAAGCAGGGGGGGCACGTGGGCCCTGCAGGGGGCTGGTGGTAGCCCCTGGGGGGTCCTGTGGCCCCTCTGGGGGGCTGTAGCCTTGTGGGGGGGCTGTCCGTGAGCTGTGCGGGGGGGGCTGTGCCCTGTGGGGGGTAGGGAACCCACCCCTCCTGAGCAGCACCCCACACTGCCCCCCACGATACACCCACACCTACCCACACACCCCACAGCCCCCCACATCCCTCCACAGCCACCCACATCCCCGTTCTTCAAACCCCACATCCCTCCAGCACACACCCTGAGTGCCTAGCTGCCAGACAGGATAAGACCCGCTAGCAGGAGCTGTGGCTGCAGGGGCAGCTGTCCCCACATCCTGGTTAGTGAAAGGGTCAGGGGGTGCTCTAACTGCTCTATGATAAGAAAACTGAAGGCAAAACATATAGGTATTTAGAATTCATTTTATTATGATGATGGAGACACTGGTAGGTGTCCAAATTGCTTTAACACTGTAGATATACCAATAAATACATTGCCCAACTGAGCGTTGTCTCTCTCTCTCTCTCACTATATATAGTGGACTTTTGTTTTAATTGTGGAGGAACATGGATTTCGGGGTATTTTACAGAGGGACTTTGGGATTTTTTTTATCAAGAATTTTTCAATTTTCAAATAGGGAAAACCAGAATTCCTGCTAGGGAGACAAGTGGCAGGACCCAGGCAGAGAAGCCTGCTCCTAGCTGGCACCTTGGACCCAGATGGAGGTGGCTGAACCCCCGGCCAGTGGGGGCCAGGAGGACATGCTTTGACAGTTCAAAGCAGGCCACCACACTGGGAACATCTTCCAGGTGATAGCTGCCCAGATGGCCGGGCAGGGGGCACACATGGCAGTAGTGC